GAGTTAGATGACCACTCTGAGTCCATTCTTTTCTAGTTTTTGAGACACTCAGACTTGACAAATGTGGATGTGCGTGGCCTGCCTGAGGCTTATGAGAAAGGTAAGGGCAGGAGCCTCAGGGAAAAAAGACCAATGGGACCTGCAGGGAATTAGAGCAAAGGCCAGTCATTTTAGCTTCCCACCCCTATTTCCTCAGTGAGATCTCCCCTCCCTAGCCACCCCATCCCACAGACTTCTCCCTTAACTCAGGCATCTGGCCTATGGAAACTCCAGGACTTCTAGCCCTTAGATTAGAACTCCTCCCTCCTCTTCCCTTCTGAGTCAGAGGGTTTAACTTGGCTCTGCTATTAGGCTAAATAGGTTGGTGGTTACCTAGGTGGTGTGATTCCCGAGGACACTAGACCTATTCCCTTGTTTCAAGATACTTCCCCAATGTCTGATTTTTCATTACTGCCATGTACTTTGAATCTTGAATGCTTTCCAAAATTCCTTTACAAAAATGCCAATAATTCCGAGAAGGGGGTCACCTTAAGCTGCCAGGAAAGGAGAGGGGTGGGGAAGGGCTTCTGTATTCTGCACAGGACTGCTTCTGAGTGTCTAGAGGAAGTTTTGTATGCTGGGAGGCTGGGCAAGGCAAGAGCGGGAAGAGAATTTTGGGGAGGGGTTTTTCTATTCAAGGGACCAAGTACTCTGGTTAAAGCTTAGAACAGCTAGACTCCATAGTTCCTAGGCCCAGCTGCACGTTCGAATCATCCAGACAGCTTTTAAAAATATTGATGGTAGAAAGTTCTAGCAACTTTACTAAGGCTAGAAAGTTCTAATTTAATTGGCCTGGGATGGGGTCCAGACATAGCTGTTTTTATAAAACTTCCCAAGTGATTCTAAAGTGCAGCCAAGGTTATGAATCACTAAACCAAGAGAAGCCTACTTAGATGTAATCTAGTTTGAGGGAGAAGAAAAAGGTGTTGGATTAGCTTCTTGGTCCCCTGTCAGGTGGGACCTACTGGGAAGGTATGGTACTACTCCATTGCTCCCCAGCTATGGCCCCTTGTCTCAAGGGTGATTGAGGGCTGGAAAGCTAATTACCTATGTAAGGTGACACAACTTTCTGGTTTGCCTGGGACTTTCCTGGTTTTGAAACTGAAAGTTCTGCATTCCCAGCAAACTGGAAATGCTGGTCACCCTACATAGAGTGACTGCAAGTATTTAAATCTTAAGTGATTTGAGCACTGGTTGGGACAACTACTTTTTTCTCTCCCTCAGTTTTCTCTTCTGTAAAATGGGGCCAGCCTTTAAATGCTTGTTCTGCCTCACTCACTGGCTGCTGCAAAACGGAATAACATTAGCGAAAGGGCCCAGTGATCTGTATGGCACTTCAGGATGGAATGTTGTAATTAATAAGCAGTACCTGCCAGGCTGAAAAGGTCACAGGATGCTTGCCAATTAAATCTGTAACGTCCATTGTAGTGGTAGGCTTGCTTTCATATATCCTTTTCTTCTCTCCCATGAGTTCCTTTACCTCTTCCCCTAAATCCTAGAATATCAGAGGTAGAAGGGACCATAGACACCTCTTAGTCCTAGCCTACCATCAAGCAGATAGAAAGATGGAGGCCTACAGAGGTTAAAATAACTGATTCAAGACCATCCAGCTCATTAGTGGCAGAGCTGGGATTCAAACTTAACACATCATGAAGTCCACCTCCTTCATCTCAGAACTGCATATCACTACCCGACCACCTCTCTGACCCCCATAATCCCATATGTCCTTTTTAGAGACATTGTGTTTTATTTCTCCCACAAACACTCCTTGAATACAGAGAGAAAAGGAAGCTCAAGGGAATCAAATTCAGAATGGGGAAGCAGCTATGGTCAGGGACTTCTCAGATGAGATGAGCTGAGACTAGAATAAAAGCATTAGTCCTCCAGGTAAGTGGGGGAAGCCGTTAGGGGAAGGACATACTAAGCAGTGGAAACAACATGTCCAATGACCCAGAGGAGGCAGACAACATGGCCCTTTCAGTCCAGTCCAGGGTTTGGGATGACTGGAGAGCTGGGTGATTGGACAGGAGATGAGGCTGATCATATATGCCTTGCTATGGAATTTGGGCTTTCCCCTGTAAATAGCCACTCATAACTCCAAGCAAACAGAGAGGGATTTTTAAAACAATGGAAAAGTTGCAGAGTTACCTCAAATCTCAGAACAGAGCTAACACTAATTCTTCTAGCACAAACTGCTAAGTACTGGAGCTGACGCCAAGCCCTGAGTCATCCCTGGGCTACTGGGCTGGGAGGAGGCCGAGCCCCACCCTCCCCTGTCTGGGCTTGGTTTAGGCTGAGCCATGTAGACTCCAGGCCCAGGCTGGTAGGCCTTTACGCTATCCTTCCCCAAGTGTGCTTCCCAGGCTGCTCTGAGCCTGGAGCTATCAGGACCCTCCTGGCCTCTGATAGCTGATAGCTATTGGCCTCTGACCATACATCCTTTAAGGTCTCTGCTTTGATTTGTCTTCTCATCTGCATCAGTGGACTTTTTCCTACCTCTCTTCTGAGCTTCATGTAATGAGCCCACCTACTCCTAGATCCCAGTAGCACAGAGTTTTCTTTCTTTCTGCCCCCATGGATTTTCCCTAAAGCATGTTTGTGGGGGAGTTGAGTGTCCAAAGCACTGTGGGGGCACAGAGAAGAAAGGAAATTTTTCTTTGGGGAATGGGGGTGAAGGGGACAGCTTTTCAGAGAAAATGACATTTGACCTGTGTTGTGAAGGGTGAGTATGAGTTGGTCAGGTGGAAAAAGGTTATAAAACTGAGAAACAGAAGGCTCAAAGACACAGATCTTTGAACCTATGTGGAAATGCTTAGGTGTGGCTCCAACATAGAGGAAATGCATGGTGAGGTGACGGAGAGCAGGGACGAAGGAGGAAATACTGAGATGAAACTGCTCAGCTGCCTCCACCTTGATGGTTCATGGGTACCTCAAATTCACCATGTCCAAAAACACATCCTCTTCCTTCTGCTCCACAAGTTGGTACTATTATAGGGATTCTAATCACTAATTCCTATCTGTTCCATAATAAGTCTTTAATCTCTCAATTTTAACCTCTTATCTCCATTTCTAATATAGGTCTAGTATTCCTAATCCAAAAAGCCGGCACTCAAAAAATTTCAGATTTTGGAGCCTTTTGAATTCTGAATTTTTGGATTACAGATGCCTAATTGGTATAATGCAAATATTCCAAAATTTGGAAAAATCCTAGTTTGAAAACGCTGGACAGGGAAAATGTGGCACATATACACTATGGAATATTATGCAGCCATCAAAAACGATGAGTTCGTGTCGTTTATAGGGACGTAGATGAACCTGGAAACCATCATTCTCAGCAAACTGACGCAAGAACAGAAAATCAAACACCGCATGTTCTCACTCATAGGCGGGTGTTGAACAATGAGAACACATGGACACAGGGAGGGGAGCACTACACACTGGGGTCTGTCGGGGGGAAATGGGGAGGGACAGCATGGGGTGGGGAGTTGGGGAGAGATAGCATGGGGAGAAATGCCAGATATAGGTGAAGTGGAAGAAGGCGGCAAATCACACTGCCATGTGTGTACCTATGCAACAATCTTGCATGTTCTTCACATGTACCCCAAAACCTAAAATGCAATTAAAAAAAAAAAAGAAAAGAAAGCACTTCTGGTCCCAAGCATATTGGATAAGGGATATTCAACCTCTACTACCATCCAAGGCCAGAACTGAAGAATGAGTACGTCTTTTCCTTTTCTGCAATAAAAACTGGGTGTCCCTTTTCACAGTTCAGTTGCATGTGCCCTGTGGCTTCCATGTCTGTACTCTATTCTTAATAATTTCTCCTCTTTACTTACCCCGCTCAACAGATTTCCTCAGTTTTGACTTCCTGATCTTGAATTCTGTCATCCCGATTTTAAAGTTGTGTTTATTTAATTTTACAATTTTATTGCCTTCTTGTGGCGAGTTCCCTCAAATCATTTGTGGAATGAGTTGAGAGATGAACGAGTTGAGAGATGAATGGCCCACAGGAGATAACATAGCTCAGATCTTCATTATTTTTTGACTGAACTATTACAATGGCTTCCAAACTGAGTTCTATATCCCCTATGTCATCTCATCCCCTCAATTCTGTCTTCCTTTGGCATGTGACATTATCTTTTCTAAAAACAAAAACCTGATCAAGTCACTTCCGTGCTTTAAAACTATAAGCAGTTTTGGTTGAGCGTGGTGTCTCACGCCTGTAATCCCATCACTTTGGGAGGCCGAGGTGGGTGGATCACTTGAGGTCAGGAGTTTGAAACTAGCCTGTCCAACATGGCGAAACCCCTTCTCTACTAAAAATACAAAATTAGCCTGGCATGGTGATGCATGCCTGTAATCCCAGCTACTCGGGAGGCTGAGGCAGGAGAATCACTTGAACCTGGGAGGTGGAGGTTGTAGTGAGCCAAGATCGTACCACTGCACTCCAGCCTGGGCAAAAAGAGCAAAACTCCATTTCAAAAAAAAAAAAAAACCAAACAAGCTATAAGAAGTTTCTCATTACCCTGAGGGTAGCTTTTAAGACCCCAGTATGAGGTACAAGGTCCTCTGTGAATTTACCACCTCTCATTCACTCTTACTTATCATAGACACTGGTGTTCAATAGTGATAAAAAGCCAACACTGTTGCTGTCTTCATGGAACTTATGTTCTACTTGGGAACACAGACATTAATCAACTCAAGATTCAATTAATTGTATATTTGCAAATTATAGTAAGTTCTCTGGAAGAAGGGGGCTTAGTTCTCTAAGGACATATTGTAGGGATCCTGACATATCGTGGGTTTTAGAGAGTTCCACAAGAAGTGATATTTGATGTAAAGGAGGGATTGAATTGGTGTTAGCTAGGTAAATGGTGAAGGTGAGGAAACATGTGCTCCCCTATAGAATCAATAGCATGCAAAGACCTTCATGGGGGATGGATTGGAGGAAGCATAACACATTTTAGAGGTGGAAAAATGTCTAGTGTGGCTGGAGTGCAAGCAGTGACAGGGAGAGTTGATAGAGGGAGGCTAGAGAAATAGGTAGGAGCCATACTATCAATGCCTTGTAAAGGCCACACAAAGATTCTTTTCTTCATAAAAGCACAGGGGAGAAGCCATTGAAGGTTTTTAAGCTGGAGAATGACATAATTTTGCAATCGAAAAAGTTTCTCTGGCTTCTTTGTGGACAATGGATGGAGGAGAGCCAAAAAGGCTATGGGGAAATCAGTTAGTTACCTGCTGCAGTTGTCCATTTTACTGGGCTGGGACCAGGGTAGTGGCAGTGGATATAGAAAGAAGCAGACAGATATGAAAGTTTTTAGAATGGCTTATTGATAGAACTTGGCAATGGGTTGAAAGTAGGGGTGGAGGTGAGGAAGAAGAAGATGTTAAAGATGACTCTTAGAGCTCTGGAAGGGGACATGTTTGAGGAAAGGAATGATCAGAAGGGTTTTTGAGGCCTGGCATGATCACTCATGCATATAATCCCAGCACTTTGGGAGGCTGAGGTGGGAGGACTGCTTGAGCTCAGGAGTATGAGGCAAGCCTGGGCAACATAGAAAGACCTCCATCTCTACAAAAAAATAAAACAATTATCCTGGTGTGGTGACATGCACCTGTAGTCCCAGCTATTCTAGAGGCTGAACCCAGGAGTTTAAGGCTACAGTGAGCCGTGATTCTGCCACTATACTCCAGCCTGAGTGACAGATACCCTGCTTCTATTCCTTTTTTTTCTTTTTATTTTTTTGGGGTAGCCTCCTGAATCAGAGTAGACTCAGAGAGACTCCCTGATTTCTAAAAAGAAAGGAAGGAAGGAAGGAGGAGGGAGAGAGGGAAGGAAGAAGAGAAGGAAAGGAGGGAGGGAGGGAGGGAGAGAAAGAACGAACGAAGGAAGGAAAGAAAGAAAGAAGAAGAAGAAGGAAAGAAAGAAAGAAAAAGAAAGAAAGAAAGAGGGAGAGAGGGAAGGAAGGAAGGAGGGAAGGAAATGAGGGAGGGAGAGAAAGAAAGAACGAAGGAAGGAAAGAAAGAAAGAAGAAGGAAGGAAGGAAAGAAAGAAGAAGGAAGGAAGGAAGGAAAGAAAGAAAGAAAGAAAGAAAGAAAGAAAGAAAGAAAGGAAGGAAGGAAGAAAGAGAAAGAAAGAAGAAAGAAAGAGGGAGGGAGGGAGAGAGAGAAAGAAAGAAGGAAAGAAAGAAAGAAGGAAGGAAGGAAAGAAAGAAAGAAAGAAGGAAAGAAAGAAGAAAGAAAGAGAAAGAAAGAAAGAGAGAAAGAGAAAAAAAAGAAAAGAAAGAACAAGTTTTTGGAAATGTTGAGGTGGAGGCATCTGTGAGTTGGTGCCTATTTGCTACAGAAACCTACTGCTCATCCTCATCAATCTTTTGTGGATCTCTACATTTCCATGATCTCTCTTGCTTCCTGGACTTTGTAGATCTTGTTCCTTTTGCCCAAGGCACTACCTTCATTACTCTCTCTCCCCCCAACCTCCCAATGCCACTTTCCAGAAAGAAGATGTCTTAGTCCACTTCTACTGCTATAACAAAATATGTGACACTGGGTAATTTATAAATACTAGAAATTTACCCCCTCATAGTTCCGGAGGCCAGGAAGTTCAAGATCAAGGCTCTGGCAGGTTCTGTGTCTGGTGAGGGCCTGATTTCTGCTTCTAAGATGGCACCTTGAACACCTTGTCCTCACATGGCAGAAGAGACAGAAAAGCAAAAAGGGCCTAATTAGTTCCCTCCAGCCTTTTTATAAAGTTTCTAATCTCATTCATGAGGGCAGAGACTTCATGGTCTAATCACATATTAATACTGTTGTTGTATTGGGGATTAAGTTTCAACATAAATTTTGGAAGGGACACACATATTAAACCATAGCAAAAGAAATACCTAGAGGAAAGGCTCCAAGGTGTGCATGAGTAGGGTGTGTGTGTGTGTTTGTGAAAATAGAATAGCCAAAGGAGCACAATGGTTACAAGCGTGGGTCCTGTATCAGAGCATCTTGGCTCATAGTCTACCATCTTTAGGTGCCAATGACCTTGGGCAAGTTATTCTCTCAGCTTCAGCTGCCTCTTCTATAACATGGGAATAATAATTATACCTATGATTTGAGGTTTTTATGAGGATTATATTACTTAATAATATATATTGAGTGCTTAGCAAGATGCCTGGCACAAAATAAGCACTCAATAAATATTTATCATAGTTATTGTTGAGTGTTTGTGTGTGTGTGTGTGTGGAGTGGGCATGGGCAATGAAGACACTGGTCTGACTAGAGAAATGCAGCTGCATTTAAAGGAAAAGATAGGCTGGGCGCGGTGGCTCATGCCTGTAGTCCCAGCACTTTGGGAGGCCGAGGCAGGCAGATCGCAAGTTCAGAAATTCAAGACCAGTCTGGTCAACGTAGTGAAACTCTGTCTCCACTAAAAATACAAAAAATTAGCCAGATGTGGTGGTGTGTGTCTGTAATCCCAACTACTTGGGAGGCTGAGGCAGGAGGATCGCGTGAACCCGGGAGGCATAGGTTGCAATGAGCCAAGATTGCGCCGCTGCACTCCAGCCTGGGTAACAGAGAGAGACTCCATCTCAAAAATAAAAATAAAAAATAAATAAAATGAAAGATGTGGCTGGAAATGAGAGGTGAGACCTGGGTATGGATGAGAGAAAATGCCGACGATCACATTGTCCGTTAAGTGGCCAAGTGAACACCTGAATCTAGGCTGGCATACCAAATCCCGTGACCTTTCTACTCAACTTGCTGCTTCTTTTTACTGGAAGTAAAGATGGCTGCAGAAAGGCAGAGTGTATTACTTTATCAGGGAGAAGTAGAATCCTCAAGATGTGGCCTAGGGGAAGAGACAAGATAGGTCCAATGTGTGCAAGCTTGTGTGTCAGAGAGAAGTGCAGGTAGGTGGTAGCTTTACCAGGTATATAAATTGTATATGTACATATATATGTGTATATGTATATAATTTGGCATAGTGCCTGTCTGGAGAGCTGGGTTCTAGCTCATTGGCTGTGTGTCCTTGGGCAGGGCTCATACTTTGTCTTAGCCTTTTCATAGTAGGACTAGGAATCCCTACCCCACCAAAGCAAGGAGCAAATTAGATAACAAAAAGATAACATGTGAAAACAGACCATTATCACCACCATCCACAAATAACATGCACAAGCTCCTGGCACTGCACACAACACACTCTGGTGCTCCCATAAAGGTTCTTGGATTAGAATCATCGTTTCTCTTTATATATAGGTATAAAAAAAAGAACACGTGCACATTGTTGTGTGGATAGACAGGTGGTTAATATAGACTCCACAGGCTTCCTTCCTTCCTCTCTCTCTTCTTTCTTTCTCTTTCCTTCCTTCCTTCCCTTCCTCCCTCCCTCCTTCCTTCTTTCTTTTCTTTTCTTTCTTTTCTTTTCCTTTTCTTTTTTTCTTTCTTTTCTTTTCTTTCTTTCTGGCAGAGTGAGACTCTGTCACCCAGGCTGGATGGCAGTGGTGCAATCTTGGTTCACTGCAACCTTCGCCTCTTGGGTTCAAGCGATTCTCGTGCCTCAGCCTTTCAAGTAGCTGGGACCACAGGTGCACGTCACTATTTCCAGCTAATTTTTGTATTTTTAGTAGAGACAGGGTTTTGCCATGTTGGTCATGTTGGTCTCGAACTCCTGGCTTCCAGTGCTCCACCTGCCTTGGCCTCCCAAAGTTCTGGGATTACAGGCATGAGCTACCGCACCCAGCCAACAGGGCTCCTTTCTGAGAAATAAAAGATGTAGGTGTTCTCAGGCTTCCAGCTTCTCTCCCAACAGGTTCTGGCTGCGGAGGTATCAGCCTCCTTCGCGCTCAGCCTCTTGGATGAAATGGCACCCCACATTATGGGGCATTATGGAGGCA